GCCTTGTACCAGCCTCACTTTCAAGTGTTCCAGCAAGGTGTGTATTGGAAAAGAAAATCCTGAATGTGATGGTGTTGTGGACTGCAGCAACGGCTTCGACGAGCACAACTGTGGTGAGTTCTCTTCTGTAGCCCGTGGCTGCTGCCAGCTGTGCTGTACATGACCTGGACTCCTCCACAGTGGTACCCACCATATTCACACTGGCTGTCTTGGGTCCATATACTGGGGGCCTAGCCCACTGGGGTCCAGATCGTTCTTGTTCTGCCAGAGCCTAAAACAAGATAAAGCTGGATGAGCTGGGTCCAAATTTACTGCCAGAAAGTGCAGCCTCTTCTACTCTGCTATAGACATTAGAACCCATTTCCCAGCACACAGGCCTTTTGGCCAGTCAGTCTGGTAGCACAAGGTGGCAAGACGGGCCTGCACAACCTGGCAGCCCAGAAAGTGTCTTGGCATCCCTGGGACTGCCCTTCGGGCTGCACATTCCTTGCTGTTTGATAGCTGAACCAGTCCATCCAAATACCTGCTCCTCGCATACCTCATCCATGGAAGGTGTGATCTGTGATAACAAGTCTGCAAAATATACCCTGTCTGTCAAGACTTGCCTCAGCGGGGTGAACTGAATTCATTCACATTCTACTGTCCTGAACGTGCTCCTCCAGCAGGCTGTCCCACAGCACAGGTTATGGAAGGCAGGAAGTCATTCCTTTAATTTATGGTTATTTAAAACCATGGTGCTTCCTCCTGTGTTCCAGACTGTGGCTCAACAACGGCTCTGGCCTTTAGCAAGATCGTGGGTGGCAGCAGTGCAGCTCGAGGAGAATGGCCCTGGCAAGTCAGTCTCTGGCTTCGACGGAAGGAGCACAAGTGTGGGGCTGTCCTTATTGCTGACCGGTGGCTGCTCTCTGCAGCTCACTGCTTTGACATGTAAGTCTGAGATAAGCTAGTTAAGTCAGCTGGCTCTTGCCTCAGTCCCATCAGCCAACCTGCTGTTCCCCTCCCTCGTGGTCCAGCACCTGGCTGGCATGCTGTACCCCACAGGAAGCACACACCCCCTATCAGAGAAATATCCCTAGAGGTGAGTGTGAGAAGGAATGGGTGGAACAAAGCCCAAGTACACCCACTGGTACTGGAGACAGGGGTCCTGACCTCCCAAGGTGTGGCCAGCCCCACAAGTGGAGGGATGGCCCTCCTTGTGAGGCTATACTCCTAACAGCCAGGTTTGCTGTCTTTCTGCAGTTACAGTGACCCCAAAATGTGGGTGGCCTATCTAGGAACACCTTTCCTGAGTGGCATCGATGGCAAAATGGAGAAAATATTTCGTATCTACAAACACCCTTTTTACAACGTCTACAGCCTAGACTATGATGTGGCACTACTGGAACTGAGCACACCTGTCGTGTTCACCAGCACCATCAGACCTATATGCCTCCCAGACAGTTCTCACATCTTCCATGAAGGGGCCAGATGCTTCATCACAGGCTGGGGCTCCACAAAGGAAGGAGGTACTGGCTAAAGACGGCCCCCCCCAACCATGATGGCCAAGTTCAGTGCTTGGCCACCTACACTGCAACACTGCAAGCCCAAACATCTAAGTTCCCACACCACTACCCCAAGCACTCCCATCCTAGGCCATATGCTGCAGAGGATACCAAGCTGGGCAAGGCCTGGTGCCACCACCATCTCCTCCCAGCTGCCATGCACACTGCTCCTCCCTTTTATCACACCTCTTCCCTCTTGAAGCTTTCCCAAGCTTTCCACATGCCAGCCACTGTGCTCTCCACCTCCACAGCAGCTGCTCCAGCTGTGCTCCTGCTGTACAAGGACCACCCCAATACCATTTGTGTCTGGTCAGCCAAGCTGCCTGACAAACGATACACCCAAGGGACCTTCTGCAGTTTGCTCTGCTGAACCAGGTGACTCACTTTCCCAGAGCAGGTCTCTCCCTCTGGCAAACAAGTGAGGCTGCAGAGACCCCATTTCACATACTGCTGTTTCTCATGTGCTCTTCACCCAGCTAACAGCAATACTTGTCTCTCCTCAGGCCTCATGTCAAAGCATCTGCAAAAAGCAGCAGTGAACATGATCGGAGACCAGGCCTGCAAAAAGTTCTACCCTGTCCAGATCAGCAGCAGGATGCTGTGTGCTGGTTTCCCACAGGGCACCGTCGACAGCTGCTCAGTGAGTGCAAGAGCAGCAAATGCTGTGACTGGGACAGAGCAAACTTATGCCAAGTCCCTAGACTGTATTCTCTCAGGAGGGCCCTGCCCTGCCTCCCCTAGCTCAGATGTCTGTCCATCCATCAACTGGCTGCTGCTTTTATCCATGTCCATCCTGCATACACCTCATGCTGCTTGCCCCACCAACCTGTGACAGGTCAGGGAAATACACAGAGAGGTAATGCTAAGCAAAAGACCACATGAAGCTTGTTCCATGACCCTACTGTACCCCTAAACACACTCTTCTATGTTCCAGAACCCCAGCTTCAGATCGTTCATGCAGGTACATCATTGAGCAGTCCTCCAGCTTGGAATGGGGCTCCTGGGGAAGTGGGGAACAGGACAGCAAATGCTCATGCCCCAGAGAGAAAGAACATTTCATGGCTGGGGGAACTGCACTGCTCGTGGCTTGATACTGGATCTTTTTCCTCTCTCTGCAGGGTGATGCAGGTGGGCCCCTGGCATGTAGAGAACCTTCAGGGAAGTGGTTTCTAGCAGGAATCACAAGCTGGGGCTATGGCTGTGCCAGGCCATACTTCCCTGGTGTCTACACCAAAGTCACAGCTGTCCAAGGCTGGATTGTGCAGAACCTCAAGCTCTGAAACTGCATTTCACCACTCAGGGAAGGCAATGAATGAGAGGAATAACTGCCAGAGGATGCACTAACCTCTCAGCTACTGTACATTTTTCTGATGCTGCAAAGCGGTGAAGACAGCCTTGCAGGTATTGAGCAAATGCGTGTTGTGTGACCTGCTGGTTGTTATCAAGGCATTTGATAACTGCTTTGCATAGAAAGGTACAAATTCTAAACCTTTTCTACAAATAAATGAAGCCTGTCCCATCTTAAGACCTGGCCAAATATACTGCACATTAAGACATGACCTTCCTAGTTGGATGGGTTCCGGAAACATCTGCCAAAGATTCATGGAGTTTGGCTGAGCCCTGCCTATGAGCTGTCATCCCATGGCCAAGCCAACAGACTCGTGACCTTTGCCCTGGCCCAAAGTTATGCCTTGTAAAAGTTTCAGACCTCACTGACTTGATGGAGCCACTGTGCTGTGCAGTGGCTTTTAGGAAGGGTGTGATGCTGTTTCCAATTAGTGTGTGGCACTAGAGAGCTCAGGGATGACCTCCTGGCCCACCAATTGATCCTAAGAGAACGCAGGACTAGAACACCGGGGAGTTCAGACTGCACAGGCCCAGACCTGTAGCAGAGTGTAAGGAGGGGCTTTTCACACATCCCCCCGCACCTCCTTTAGCATTAGGTAACTGGTGATTCCACCGGGAAAGATTAAGGCATGGCCACACAGACCACTGTCTGGCTAAGCTAGGTGGGAAAAATTTTAAGTGCTGAGATAGTCCTACCAGCCGGGATAAGACACATAGACAACTTTGTTCACAAGCAAAGAACTGCAGCAGAGCTCACGTACTGAGTCCTGGGCAGAGCAAACTTACGCATGACCCCATCGATTCAGCTACCAAAACTGAACAGCTGCTTGTACCCCAAACCCCCTCCTCATTTTTGGTGCTTTAAGTTCTGCATCTGGGCATAACAAGAGGTTTCCTCCATCCCAACCCAGCTGGCAGCAAGATCTACAACTTTCTGAGACAGAGCACCATCTATGTGGGAGACCTGGATCCCAGGCATGGCTCAGCTCCAGATGGGTTCAGATTCATGACTAAAACACCTGTGGGACACTCCCATGAATGAAATGGGACTGCCGACAGCCAGCACCACAGAATTCATACAACCATAAAGAAAAGTAAAAAGCCCCCTAAGCAAACATGTCTGAAAGCACTTTATTTTCAAGTAGTCATTCTTACAGTCTAGAAAGGAATCTCCAGTTTCAGTAAGTCCAAATTCCCAAATATCTCCTCATAGTTTACCTGGTGTGAGAACACTTTAGGTTCCACCACATCCCAGTGAATGTCCTAGGAGGTGCGGAGATGTCATTCTTCCAGTCTGTCTCTGTGTCTACCAAACCATACAATCTTTCATAAAATACAGAAGTGCTTCAAAAGAAAGGATTAAAAAAAACCAACATGGGCACTGCTGATCTCCAACACTCTCCTTTTGCAGCTGCTGTATCCACTGCTGACCACGCAGCACGAACCCACCTTTTTAGGAGCAGTGTGGAAGCACAAAAATAGAGTTGTGCCCCAAAGCAGACCAACATTCCCTGTTGCAGACATGCTCCTCCCTCAAAAAAATTATTTTTAGGATATAGGCTCCAAGATGGAATATCTGTGCCAGAGCCAAACCAGAAACTACAGAATATTACAGCCACACAACACACTTTATTCTACAAAGAAAAGAACTTAAGTACTTCCCAACCCTGCTTCCCTAGCTGGGCTCATACAACTATTTGGGAGGCTGTCCTGCTCCCCAACACTGTGCTTGAGCTGAGTCAAAGCCTAGGAGCCCAAAGACAGCCCCACAAAGCACTATACAGATATAAGACACAAAACAGCCAAAGTGGCATGTGGACAACCTTCTGGCAGTTTCTCCACTAATGAAAAGGGACTGAGTAAGGACCTTATGGATGGGTCCATGCTAGAATCCCAAGGAAGGATACTGTGTTGCTGGCTCGGCTTGGCCCCTGTTTTCCACAGAAGGCTCCTTGCCTATCACAGCCCTTTCAGCAGGGATTTAGAAATTGATATAATGCCTTGGGCCAATCTGTACACTTGGGAAGGACAAGAAGTAAAGCAAGCAGCTCATGGGAAAAAAAAAAAATCACTCTCTCCTGGTGCTGGTGCTAATAAAAGCCAACGGATGCAAAAGGTTCAGCGAGGTTTTATTGCTCTGCCATGGCAGGGGCTGGGAAGGCAGCAGGATTCACCCCTAACCACCTGGACTGGCCGCTGTCCTTTCCCCACATGGTCCCTCTCGGCCCGGAGGCCGGCAGGCGTCACATGTTGGCTCTCTCCCGCTGCAGCCGAGAATTGTAGGCTCGCGAAACTGTGTTCCAGGAGTCCATGTACCGGTCCATGCACATGGCGATGCACTTCTGCGGGACACAGAGCCTCAGCGGCAGCCCCGAGCTAAGGGGCCGCGGGTGCCCAGCTCTCCCGCCCGTCCTCACCTGCTCGGAGTTGTCCAGGGCGCCGCCGGGCTTCCCAATGCACTTCCGAAAGCACTTGTCCGTCATCCGCTGCGGAGAGAGCCCGTGAGCGGCAGCGCGGTCCGGGGGCTCCGGCTGCAGCCGCCGCCCCTGCCGCGAGGGGAGCGGAGCGGCCTGGCCGTCTCCCGCGACCCACGCCGGGACCGAGCAAGCCCCCGCCCGGCCCCGCCGCCCCTCCTGACCTGCAAGAGCTCCTGTGCGTTGGCCACGGCGATCTGCACCTTCACCTGCTCCATGATGAGCCCCGGGTCCAGCTTCCCCCCGCCGCCTCCTCCGGAGCCGAAGTCGGAGCCGAAGCCGCTCTCCATGCCCAGAGTCACCGCGGCCGAGGCCCCTGCGCTGCCGGAGGGAGAAATGGCGGCGCCCGGACTGCGGTTCCCGACGGGCCCCGCGCCTCCTCCGCCTCCGCGCCGGGCGGGACTGCGCGCTCGGCCCGCCTCAGCGGAGCCGCTCCGCTCCGCGCCGTCTCCGGCCCGTCCCGCCGCCACTCGCGGCCCCTGTCCCCGAGCGCTGGTGTCACCGTCGGCCGCTGAGGAGGCGGCCCCGAGCGAGCTAAGGGGACTCCCCGGGGCCGAGCCGGGCCCGAGTCAGACAGCAGGGCTCGAGTACAAGGGTTCAGCGCAGCCCACGAACTGAGGGCAACGGGAAGGGGCTTTAAACCGGCATCACCAGACACAAACGCCGCCCAGCTGCACCCCGCGGTGAAACACCAGCTCTGCTGAGATCCCCGCAGAGAGAAACTCCCCTTTGGGTTCTCTCTGGAATTCATCCTTCTGTTCTTCGAGGCTTTCCTCTGCCTTACGTGACTCGGGTGAGAGGCCCATGCCCTTAAAGTAAGCTTCATTACACTTCCCTCCGTTAAGTAAGAATGCTGTGGGACGAAGTAGAAGCAAATGGGAGAGGACCGCGCTACGGAACTCTTTTTTCATGGGTGAGATGTGATGGCAGGTAGGAGATGGCATGAGAGGGCATTGAGTACCACAGCAGAGCTGAAGCCAAAACTGTGCTCATCTTCACTAGCCCCAGCCCACACTGAGAGTACTGCAAACCATACCATCCTCTCTTTGGATCTGCCCACTTCAAACAGAAGGCATTCCTAGCACCCTGCAAGAAACAATCAGCTAGTGCTAACGATGGGGCAGACACCTAAGGTACAAGTTTTAAATGAATTTAAAATGCAATTTTTAAATGCATTTACCAGCCTGGCTCAGCTTCCAGCCCACTTTCGAGTCTGTACTCAAAAGTGGGCTGGAAGCTGAGAGCCAGGTTGGCAAATGCATCAGCTCATGGCAATGCTTCTGTCTATCCCTAAGAATCCATCCCTGCCAGCGATCGGTTTCTGCTCTCATTCTTGTTTAGCATCAAGTACGTTAAATCAAAGAATCCGTTCAGTGCAGTGGTGATGAGAAAGCAAGGGAAAGTTTATCTGCTTCAGCTCCAGATATTCTTCCCCCTGCTTTTGCTGGTACTGCTCAGAGAGGACAGCAGGTTCCACCAGCACTCCGTCAGCTTTAAGGAAAGCGTTCCTTGATACACCCAGCCCAGGATCCCTGCTGGGACACAATTCAGCTGACCAATGTTAGGAGCACAGACGGCAGCTCTTTGTGTCCTCTCTCCACACTTAGAGGCCTCCTTGGAGGAATCATTTCAAATAGCTCACATTACCTGTGTGCTGGGTGACAGACAGAAGGAAACCAATAAAATGCAAAACATTTATTCGAGTGTGTTGTACAAAAAGTTTCCAGTCATAAAATGTATATTACAAATCATTGAAAAAGACAAGACATTTGGCATGCATAGTCTAAAAAGAAAAAAAACCAAACCACTTTGAAATGGTAAAGTCTAGGTCATGATGTAGTTTTTCTAAGTTTCAAGTGAACATTTTCATTGTTTTGTCTTTGTGTTTCTTTTAACAGCCTTTTTCATAATTCCCCATTTAAAAAACTTGAACCTTCCAAAAACTCATCTGCAGCAGCTGACTGGAGGTGGTTACTACAGTGCCCTCAAGCCAGACCTGTCTAAATCAAATTTTTGTTTAAAAAATTTTAAAAATAAAAATCAAAATTCAAGTCACAAGGCATCACTGCTATGAAAATAAGATATCAACTGTATTTTGTGCCCAAATGGAAAGCATTTTGGCTTAAACTTGCTCAAAATAGATTATTGCTTGTAATTTTAGTGTAATGATCTGGGTAGCTGAATATACAGTAACATCTGCCTTACCAAGATGGACTTGTCACTTCAGTAGCAGCTAACTAGAAAATCTGGAAGTTCAATAAACAACATCTTTTCTGGAACTCCAAGTCAATTCATTACTTGTGCTATTCTGAATGGAATCATCAGAATGATGATTCTTTGCATCTTTTTCACTCTAGACCTTAGCATTTCAAGAAAAGAATTATGTTTACAAATAATAATTGCGTGTAAATATGGTCTTGTATAAAAAAAACCCAACAAACACCTTTAAATAATTTTAAACTGGTTTAAAGCTAAGCATATTGAAGGGCAAATAAAAATTCTGTTTCCCAGGCCTATATGAGAAAACAATCTCCAAGATAATTTGTCCTGACATTCAGCTAAAACAGTGCTTTAAAAAATGCAATCACTATCTCACCTTCCGCTCACTGGTTCACAAGGCTTTGCTTACACAGTTTGGACCCAACAGTGTCAATAAAATGCAGGATCAAATATGGATATGCCTTTGTTTAGAGATAAGACTTTCAAAAGAAGATACAGAAAGAAGAGATAGAATGGTTCAACAGTGAATACATGAGAGAAGTGGCTACAAGAGATCTAGAACATACAGCATGCATGTTTTCCTGCAGCATCAAAACCTTTCTGATGCACATAAAGGTAACAGATTCTCCAAGGTCCTGGGGTGCAGAGAGGATTTTTACAGGTCTCTTCTAACCTGCAACCTCTGTTAAGGTTGCAGTTAAAGGGCCTTTATACAGGATAAGCATAACAAAGAAAAAGGGTGTATAAGGTCCAGTAAGATCCCTGAACTGAACATGAAGTGTCCCATTGCTCAAGGACAGACACCACATAGTGATCTCCTTTCACACTGCAGTACAATTCCCACACTACTGCCAGCCTGCACACATACTCAGCTGGCTGTTACATCACAGGAAGCAAATATTTATATTCTTCGTGAGACTTTTGGTTCCTGCTACAAACACAGACTGTGCAGCCAACTGCCCATCTAATGGTAACACAGAGCTGAAGGTAAGTAAGCAACATGTCAGTGCAAATGATGGGTTCTGTTAGAGCCAAGCTGGAGCCCCGTGTAGGCATAAAGAGACCTGCTGGGCAATAGAGCTGTGAAGCAACAAATGGAACAGGAAATTCCTTTGCTGCTGTGGAGCAGCAAAGGAATCATGGGAAATATGGATGTGCAGGAACAAGGGAACCCCAGCCACTCCACTCCTTGGAGTATGTCACTGCAATGCAACAGTTAAAGGAACAAATGCAGAAGCAAGGGAGAAAAAAATGGCATGAAATGCCAGGGACTCTGAGGCCACACCTCACTCCAGACGGTATCACATTCCTGACAGGTCTGCAGGTGGATGGGACTTGTTCTGAGACAAGTGTTTTCATGTGGCATGAGCTTAGGAGGAGGCAGGATGTGCTTACTGTATTTTATATGATATTCTGTTATGAGCTACACATAGGAAAATCTATTTACTATTTCATTCAGAATAAATTCTGGATTAAGAACATCCATATGGATAGTTATGCTCAAGTAACTGCTCTGATAAAAGCTTAATTTCCCTTATCAGTGATACCTTAAAATAATTTTTCTCCAGGCAAGTCAAATCTATTTTTCCTTCAAGCTTTATGCCAGGTACCAGCACTGAAGTAGAACTGCTGTCCACACTTCTAATTTCATCAAGACTGGTTCATATACAGGATCAAAGAGAAGAAGGGGACAAGGAGAGGCTGGATTTTATTTGAACAAAAAACTTTAAATATCCTGAAAATGGAAAAAATTCTTGGAAAGATAGAAAAAAAAAAAAAAAAGAAACAATGCTTTTTGGGTTGGTAAAGCCACAAAACTGCCTCCCCGTCTGGCTGGAACAGCGCTGTTAGACTGAAGCTCAGCATCAAAAGCAAGAGGCCGGGATGGTGTCTGGAGAAGGCAACACAAAAACCAAAGTACATGGTATACAGTAGTTCTTCTGTGGCTTGTAATTTACAGCCAAAAGTTATTTATCATATTTGTAGTAGCCTATTAAAAAGCACTGTGGTAACAGAATCATCCACATTCAGACTGGGCTTTTCCCACAGTGTCAATCACAGGTTTATTTGACCTGCATGGTCCCAAAGAATCAAATAAACTGCTTCCAAAGTTAAATGTCACAGTTCCAATTCTAAGGACATACTCTGCAGACTGTTACTCAAGGGCACAGTGCTCATTACAAGAAATCTGCAAGCACCAGTTCTTAAGGCTACAAGAAGACATATTCCTCATACAGTAGCTGTTAGGAAAACTATGGCTCAGGTAGCAAGAGGTTTTTCTTCATTTGAGCTGCCTTTCTGAGGCCATTCTTTACAGAAAACAAACCAAAAACCACAGAAAAAAAGTGTAAATTAACTACACATTCATTACTTTAGTATTTAAGATCACAAAATAATCTTAAATTTACAGGACAATCTTAAAGGAATAAGCAGTCTGAAAACTGGCCCATGTAAAAAAAATATATATATAGATCTGTAGGGAAAAAGCAAAAAAGCCCTCAAACACTATGTCAGTATCTTACAGAAGCTGTGGGTCAGAAAAGGGAAATAGTGTCCAGTGGTTGGAAGGTGTATTGCAAAAAAAACTTTACATTGATTGCATTCATTTGCATAACAATGAATTTAGAAAAGGTAATTGTAACAGTATGTCTGAGAAACATAATTTCACTAGATACATCTTACAGAGAGAGAGACATGATTTACTACATATTTAACCTTCTACACAAGCAGAGTGGGAAAATTACATTAGAAAGATGGCCAAATACATAAATTCAGTTATCTCATCAGCCCAAACAGCCAAATCTTTATCCTGTTTTTTTTTTTTTTTTTTTTGTAATGGGTCTTCTGATAATGGATTAAAACATAATTCTAAATGTCTATTAGCTTAACTTCAGCAACTCAGTTATCCCACTCAAGGAGAGAAAAGTAGCATCTTTATTTTTAAACGACAAAATAAATCCTGAAGCTTAAAGCCCCATTTGTTCCCACCCTGCTTGCATAACAAAGCCATCAATCCGAGCCACAAAACCGACTTTCTGGGTTATATCTGTCAGTCACGATACTGTTCAGAGAACATAATGTCCGAAAGCCACCGAAAACATCCAAACCTTGTCACTTGTCTGATGAGTTTTAACATTTTGAATGACATGATCAGAGTCCGAGAGTGAAGGTAACAACAGGATTCTATGCTGAAATCAAATGGTGTCCAAATTTTGTATCCAAACTACTAAGTTTGTTTTTCAACTAGTAGTTGAAATAACATCTGCATTCTTTGGAGCAGTCAAGTATTTTTCCTTATGCTTAAAGATGAACACTAACTCTTATGGGACTCAGTTATCTCCAGAGAAATGCAACGTCAGAAACCTTTAGCTAAATGGACACTATCAGATAAAAAATGCATCCTCTTAAAATAGAAATCACCTGCTACCCATATAATGCATTTTTTATAAAAAACATTATTCTCCCTTCACTCCTTGTTAGACTTTGCCTTGAGCACTTGAACACTGCGTTGCTTACATCCTTGACAGAGGCAGTTCCTCTGAACTGTTTAAAGTCATTCAACTATTTCTGCTCTATTTTGCAAATATTGCTCCCTGGGATACCCAACAATGCCCCTTTGAACCTAACAGAAGTATGAACAAGCTATTTCTAGCTCTGATTAAAAAGGTCAACATTTATACTGGATAACCTTTAAAATCCCCAATATGTATCACTGCCAAAAGTATAAATACCTTTTACTTCTAAAATCTTAATCAAATATTTTTAAAGCTGAATATGTCAAAAGGATTAAATTATAAATACTGAATATCACAATTTGTGTCCATGATTTAACTTGTGACAATGGCAAAATCCCCTAAAAATCAAACAGTTTGACCTTTGGGTTTGACACTTCCAACTTGGGATGGTGTGTATATTCAGGAAGCAGAACCCACCATTCACCTTATGAAATGATGACATGGAGCTCAGGTGTGACAGACCCAGATGTTTTACCATTAGGCTGTCAAATCTTGGAGAAAGACACAATGGCAAGGTCCTGAGTCAAAAATGCTTAAAATGAAGCTTCCCCCCGTCACTGCAATTGTGGAGCAGCACTTTGAATGAATCTATGGTCTAATTTTCCTAAGATGGGAATTGCTGAGGTTACCAGGCAAAATACTAGCTTTTCTACAACTGTTGAGGAAACACTCTTTGAATCTCTCCCAGGGCCCTGTAAGTGAACACACTTCATTAAACCTTTTTTTCTGGAGGTATTATACTGGTTATATATGTAATTATAGATTTACCATACACTCAAGGAGTCTCATCTCATTTTAGCTAAAAATCTCTTTTCTGCTTTAGGTTTCTATGTAAGACTTTAAATTCTGTATGGGGAAAAATATTGTATTCCAATACAGTATTTCAACAAAGAGGGAAAAATAAAGAAATCTATTAAAAATCCTGGCAGTTTTGTTCAGTAAAGTTTTTTTGAATTTTTTTTATAAAAATGTACCAAGGAGTAAACGTCAAAGAAATCAGGTGATGCATATAAAAATAGTTTTCAGTGGCTCTGGAAGGAAAAAATAGCAAAAATAAAAGGAAATAAATGAAGGGGGGAAAGCGTAAATAATAGTTTCTTTCTTCTTTCTTCACATCACTGAGCATCCTCTAGAGGTTGTTCTGGGATCACCCTAAAATAAGATAGAGTTGAATTCAGTTCTTACCAGCTATTCAGATTGCAAGCCTAGACTCTGCTTATCATCTCAGTTGCCAAAAGCACTTTTTTAGTCATTTAGTTACATTAAGGGAACATCACTACATAAGAGGAAGTAGAGTACATGCCCCAGTCTGCTGCCAGGACTGACACACTGCTCCTCTGATTGGGGTTTTCTGCAACAGGTTGATTGGTTAGTCTCCATATTTCCAGCAGTGATACAGATGACAAATAAAAGTTGTGATGTCATTAGCTCGAGACCAGCAAGTTCCTGTATTTCAAATGCTGATTTTGAGAGTGATCTCTGCTGTATATCTGCTTTTTTGGGTAAGAAAAATCAGTTGTTTTATACTACAAATACACTGCTTAATCTTTGGGACCAAAAAAGCTTTGAGAATTCACCTGCAAACCTGCACAGAATGGGTTATTTGTGAAAAGACCTACTAATGGCCATTGATCAGAAAACAAATCCCTTAGGTTTCAAATATAAAATATTTTCTGGTATCACCTATATATCCTTCTCCTTTTTTTGCTCTGTCAACTCCTGGTCACTTATTTCACATTATTAAGCGAAAGGTTGTCAAAACATACAGGTGGTATTATTAAGAAAAAACCAAGTTCATTTCATGTGTAGAAGCTATATAGTGTCAGAAAATAAACCAGTAAGCTGAAGCTTGCAGCAAGAGAAGCACCCCCATTCCTGGTTTTCAGTGGTTATCTGGTAATATCCTGCTTCCAGCAAGAATGCCCCAGCTCTGTTGCACAGAGCAGCAGATACTGGGAGGAACACTGCCTGCTAATGCTGAAACTGTGTGATCTGAAGCACAGGTACCCGGAGCTGACATCAGCCACTGCCTGAGCTGTATGAGGATGGATCCCAGCAGTAATTCCTGGCAGCACTGCTCACATTGTCCTCTCTTGGTGCACTGCAATGTTGCAAGCAACCATTGGAAGCAAGGACCAGGAAGCTCAGAGCTGGCAGAAGTCGAAGGGGGATCCCCCCCCCCGAGTAAATCTTATGCCTGATTGACCCAACTAATGAGGCATGAATTAAACATCTGGTCTGCATCTGATTACCTGTTGGTTGAAAAGGTCTTCCTCTCCATATTCTGCTTCATCTTCTTCCTCTTCATTCTCTCGCACAACTACTGATTTAGTAACGCTTCTCACTGCAACTTCCTATACAAAATGACGGATAAGGAGATGGCCAGAAGTCTTTATCTATCTGTTAAGTTTTTGCTATATCATCAATATAATATCCTTATTAAATTTTGGAGAGTTTAAAGCAACTTGGCCTAGATTTAACGACTAGCTATCAAGCAAACACCAGCAATATCCTGCAAACCACAACATCATTCCTATTTCTGTGCACTAAAAGGCACGGTAATGTAATTCAACCACTTGATTTCTTTTCATTACCCTGGGATTTAAGAGGAAGCAGACATGTTTCAGGTGATCGTAGTCAATTTTACACAAGGTCACAGCAGACACAGGTAGGAGCTGTCTGAGATACAGTGTAATGTGAGAAACCAAACTTTCTCAGTATGATTACACAACATAAGGAATATTCCCAGTTTCTAAAAATATTCAATGTTAATTGCGTATGTTGGTTTTCAGCATAGTTTTACAAGCCAGGCACTAAAGAAAATTCTAAAACCCCAGGAAGCTTCCTTTATTACTAAATTATTTTTAACACTTCTAAATAGTAAGAAATTCTTCTGCCTACTTGCACCGTGGAAATCACAGATGAAAATCTCTAATTGTGGAAAAAGTTGCCCTTAACATACTCTCCTAAGCAGGGATACTAAAGGTAACCATAGTGAAAACAGACATGGATTTGAAATTTTTTCAGATACTAGTTTGACCACACAGTTTGAATATGGAGAGTATTAGCTTTCTATTTGTACAAATTACTGTCCTCCTACCTCATCCTGCCCATAAAGTTCTTCCAGAAAACTGCCAGCAAGAAAGGCAACACAAAAACTGATACGACTGTGGTCTGTTTCCTTTTCCTACTGCTATCAGATTGCTGGGATAATGGTACGGTTATGAGTAACAGCCAAGGCACAATTCTCACTTGCAAAAGTCATCTGCAGAGATGGTTTTAAAAAAATTAACTGTGGGCAGATGTAGAACAATGCAGAATGCTCAGGAGTCTCTGCCAAATGAGAACTTATGATATGCTTCTAACACGGAAAGGACAATTATCTTCCTACATTAATATTTACACTGCACCTCAGAACATCACAGGGACTACATAATGGAACTGGAATTGCCAGAAACGCTTCTTTTCTTTGTCTCTTCTGAAAGTACATACTCAAATTCCAAACAAATTCTCTACTAGCAAGGTATTCTTCTAAAGTAAAAAAAAAAGTGTCTATGGGCATAATCACAATGATCACAGTTCTCAAAAATATCCCAAAAATGTCAGAAATATGTGCATAAATAATATGTTATTATTTCAGTGTTATAAACTGCCATATTAGTAGACAACAGCAGAGACCCTACAGTCAGGATTTTGTCATTGTGTCATGTCACCCCACCCTCAAATTAAGAGTCTGGGAGGTAACCCAACCCATGGACACAGCCTACCTCTCCTTCAGAGTTGACGAGGTAAGTGCGGATATTTCCACCAGTGCCCCAGCTGCCTTGATTCTTCCACACGAGAACAGAAGGGGGGCTGTGAGATACACCTGCATCTGCACCCCAGATCTAGAGAGAATGACAATCTGTAATTAGCTGTTTATCCATATTTTTCTTTTAAATATACATATCCCCCTAATTCTCCTACTTCTCTCTACATACTACGTTTCTTTTCTGAATTCCAATGGCAGTTTTACCCTCCTTTTAACTACACTATTACTGGTAGTAAGGCATTAAAAAAAAAATCTAATATTGCAGTCATGAATTCTTTTCTGAACAAATTTCTCCTACCACTGTCTCAATAACCATACTGTATGGAGCCAAGGCAAAAAGCAGCATGTAGTGCATAAACTTAAATCTTTTATATGTATCTGAACAATTGATACTTAAGTAGAAATAGCTGCAAGTGTTTAAAAGATACATTTGTTTCATCCTAAAAGAACATCTGTTGCAGACTGAAAATAAAATGCAAAATTATTGAAAAGCAGCTGTTCTACAACATTAACTACAGTTAATGCTGAGAATGTCCAGTCTTAACTACAGTCTGGATGAATGCTCTGAACTGTTCCCAATTCTTTAAGAGGTTGAGCAGGATTAGGGTGCTAAACCTGGGCAAAGGTGTTTGGAAACAAACAGTTCTTGACTAATCCCCCAAAATACCTTTTTCTTCAACTTTCTATGTGCCCAAAAAAATGGTCTTAAATACTGAAGTACTAATATAGAGATTAATTTTTTTTTTGCATTTTTATAACTGAAATCCTGCTCCTCTAGAGTGAGACCCATGAAACCAAGTCAGGCTGTACCAGACTTCAAGATTTCCAATTGCCACAGCATCAACAGAAGAATATGTTGTTGACATACTGTAAATACAACTTACTGTAACAGTCTGCCCAGCTCTGAGGACATACTTAGGAGTAAATTTGTAAGCAATTTCATCTCCATCTCCAATTTGTCTTTTCAGTCTCCAGTTACCCAAAGACTGATCCTAATGGATAGAGTCAGAAAGTTATTCAGAGCGAACAAAACAGAACAAACAGTCATCAGAATCTAGGTCTTTGTTACTAAAATAATGAGGATATCAATTTATTTATATGGTTGTTAGACATTTGCATTCTACCTTGAAAGTATTTGCCTACATCCAGTCATAGTCTAAAGTGTAAATCCCATAGGGTCATTCACCAAAATTTAAAAAGATAACTATTTCAGACAACAAAGTTCTGCTAGACAGCAGGCTGCTTCTGTGAGCAATGTCCCAGCACACATTTACATATTTGGGACAAATTGCGTTCTCTTCCTGCAGCATGCTAGCCCACCATTATGTTCAACTTTCCAAAGCCGTTAGTTCCTGCAGGATGCTGCACCTTGAGATGCTGTTCCTGCTCTCCACATGGCCACACCACCTGCTCATGCTGCAAAGTGCTGTGTATCATCTCAATTTAGCTCCTGCTTGTTTTCTATGAGTTCTGCTGATGCTCACCTTCTCTGAGTTGTTCTTAAGCTGAACATACTTGCCCTCCAGGTCTATCTCTTCTATGCTGATACTTCCTGTAGCTGAAGCTTGCTGGGACATTTGAAAGCTACTGCTACTGCTGCTGCCACTGATACTTCCAGTGCCGATCCCACTAGTTCCACTGCCGGAAAGCTCCTCTGCTTCAATACGTTTTCTCTTGCCTCGGGAAGAGCGAACAAGTGAAGTGCTGCTGCTGCTGCTGCTGGAGGTAGCCCGAGAGACTGTGACACGGGAGGAGGGACTTGGAGAGAGCTTCAACCTTAACACAACCAAGAAAGCATTTTAATTAACTCACCCAGAGAACCACAAAGCTACAATATCCTCAAGTAAGCAGACTGTAATGTGCTCCAAGGTTGACAGCATCCTCACTCTGTATGTCAAGAAGACTGCATACATGAGGAGGAGGGAGCTACCCATCCCTGAGGAATGCTCTGGCAATATGACCATGTGGCATGGAAAGCAGTGCTACTGAGAGCAACACAGATCCCTTAACCCCTCCCTCCAGTACAGCTACTACTGAACACACTATTCTTGGGCCCCATGATTTAAAACCACAGAAGTACAAGCATTTAAGTAAAAAGATGATATGAAGACCAAGCACAGAATTATATATTTCACTGTACTCCAAGACCATTAAAAAACCCCAAAATAAGGACACTGTTCAGTTGAGAACAGGTGTTCCATGCAACAACATTGTGGTGTGAAGCCAATATAATTTCAGTGAAAGGTAATCTGGCCATTCCTGTTCAAGTGGTAAAAATAAGGGCAAGAAATGAAAATAACACTTGAGAGTCCTTAGAAAAGAAAGTGGAATCTTTACACACCTTTCCTCTTCTCCTTCCAGGAGTTTTCGGTAAGCACTGATCTCCATGTCCAGTGCTAATTTAACATCAAGTAGTTCTTGGTACTCTGTAAGCTGAAGCTGCATCTGGTCCCTCATGTCTGTCATTTCCCTCTCCTTTGCATCCAGCATCTTCCTAAACTTCTCCCGCTCACCAGCCATCATTTCCTCCAGTTCCCGAATGCGATCTTCTGCTGCACTGGCCTAGGCACACAGCACAAGAAAAAGCCCACCTGGCATCCATGCAGGTCCACTCAGGAAGTTAAAACCCTTCTCCCCCCCAAATGAACATAACAAAGATTTCTCTATGCAAAATTCAGAAAATACGAAGGGTCGGAAATGTTAATATATTCACACAAAACAGCTGTGTGTTTGAGAGGAAAGCCAATTTAGTCCCTTTACCTGTTTCTGAAGACCAGAAAGCTGGTAGCTGAGAGCTTCTATCCTCATGCGAGCCTCCTTCAGCTCCTCTCGAGCTGCACCAGCAGCTTTGTCATTTTGGTCAGAGGACAATTTGGCATTCTCCAGCTGGAAAGAAAGTTTTATACAGCTCACTTGTACTGAGTTAGAAATCCTGAAATATCCTTTTGGTAAAAAGACAGCAACTACTTAATTTTAGAAAATTTTAAATGGTCTGGTAAGTTTAGGATAGGAACTGCAAAACATTAAGGAATGCCCTAAGGACCAAAGGAAAATGTATTTCAGGATTTGCTTATGCTGTTAAAAAAATGCAGGACTTGCTTATGCTGTTAAAAAAAACCTCTACTAGCCCTTCCATTATACAAGCAACCTTAGTTTCCAAAAAACTTAGCATGTGCTCTGCTTGTTTGTCCTAAGGCAAATCACACTGGGTGACAGCAAAGGCTGCCTACCTAATTCATGTCCTGGTCCAACAGTTCCCTGGATGCCCAGAGACTATCTCAATAAAATATTTCATGGGTATTATGTCTCTGCTGGCTATATGCAACTCAGGGACCTCTTCAGTCAGGAACAGTATTTTACTGCTTACTATCCCTCAGTGGATTTCTCCGGCAGGAATTTTTCACTGCTTTTTGATTTTTTGGGGAAACGAGTTTAGCTCTATATTAAAGAACAATTACTTTGTGTCTCCTCTATCTGGCCATTCTCACTGGATGTTCACTGTCCCTGCTCCTACTGAAAAAACAACAATCACTCCTCATTTACCTTCCCCCATGCTATTTATCCCTTTACAGACATCCACTGTATCTTTCACCTCTCTCAATGTATCTCTTCTCCAGGTGAAGTTTTATTCAAAATTTTCTTATGCATGACTTGTTTCCCACTCTAAATTGTCTCTGCCAACTCTCCAGTACCTTTGCAAGAAGCAATAAAACTACTCACAGCACTCCAGATGACATCCTCTCCCAGAGACAAATCAATGGTTTTGATTTTATTCTGTTTCCTTAATAGTTGCCAATATATGATTTGGTTTTAATTTTTTGTTAAATTTACCTAGTGAACAAGCTTAATTTCTAGTGGTTAATTTTAACTAAAACAGAGAGAGCAAAACCAGAACTCTTACATGGTAAGCAGAGAGCTAGAAAAACCATCCTTTGCATGCCTTAGAGCTGGACTTCAACAATTTTGCCACACCATGGAATCCACTCAAAAACTAAACCAATCTAATTCTAAGAACAGTTAGAGGCAGAAGATGTTCTTTAGCCACACAGCACAAAGGTTTATAAAATCAATCTTCACTAGCTCTGCTGTTCACTAGGTTCTGAGCAGCACACACAGAGCCTTCTTTAGGCTACAGATTTTGAAGGAACTTCAACTACACCTTTAATACTTCTTGTAAAGTTTAAAATGAAAAAATATTTAAAGTCTGACAAACATTCACTACCTTACAGTCATGCTGGCATAGTGCCAAGTACTTAGGATTGCTGTTGCTTATTATCACAGATAATAATGATCTTTCTTAGAAGCCCTTTTTAAGTATTCAAAAGTCACAATAAGGTCTCCATGGAGAGTTCTCTTATCCAAGCTGAACACCCCAGCTCTCTCCGTAAGAGGTGCTCCAGTCCTCAGGATCACTTTTGTGGCCTTTTTTGGACTTTTTCCAGCCACTCCACATCTGCCCTGTGCAAGAAGTGAGCTTTTACCCAGGATCATCTCATCCTGGAGCTGCTCAGTAGCTAAACCTAGTGATTTGCTTTGACATCTTATTTCTCCCCAGCTATGGCTCTCTAACAGGGACACGTCCTAGCTCAGAAATCACAAAATTAATTTCACAGCTAAACCCCTTTCCCTCCATATTCCAACTTCATCCATAACAACCTTTATGCAGGGAAAAAGCAGCTTAATTTGTTCATTCCCCTGTTCAAAGCTTGTCACTTTTTCATTCTCTAAGTCTGTATATTGCATCCTTTTTAAATTTTTTCTTCTGCTAAGCATCTTCTATCCTGGATCTCCTTCAGACTGTGACAAGTCAATCCAAATAGCTCCTTACATGTTCCAGAGTTCTGTGAATAATTTCAACCCTGCCAACTGTGTTGGGGGTTTTAATTTTAATTTTGGGGTTTTAATACCTATTATCTATAGGGTTGCTGCTGTAAGTAATAGTTAAATATTTGTAGATCAGTATTTCTCAAACCAAATAATCAACTCAAAGAAATCAAACGGAGTCTCACTGAAGGGTGGGAGAGAACAATGTTAGCAGTACCATCATTCTTCCAGCACAAGAGAACAAGAAGTGGCTGTAACTATTGAGAAGTACTTTCAACACCCAGAATTGTCAGGATGGGGCTCTGAGCAACCTGGTCTTGTTTAAAGACATTCCTGTTCAAGGCAGGGGGCTGGACTAGATGGCTTTTAAAGGTCCCTTCTAGCCCAAACCACTCTACGATTCTATGATTTTCAAATTACATACCATGACTTTCATCACCACAGCTGAAGAAAGGTCAAGAAAGGTCTGATATCTTGCCTGAAGTTTCCCTGTCACCAAAGGATTCACAGCTGCATCTAGTAATTTTCCAGTCCAGAACTATCTTAGATCATTGAAATGTTGCAAGGCTTAGACATACTTAAAAATGTACTGGCATGATTAAGAACACTGCAATGGCCACAGTAAGAGCAAAGTGACAGTGCACCTTTAGATAAGAAGCCCCTTCCAGTGTGTCTATATTAGTTTGCAAGCTCACTGCATCCTAGCAGAAGCCCATAGTGAGACACACTCACTTCCAAGCTCTCCAATCCCCCCTTCAGCTTCTTATGCACAACATATTGCATGTCTTGCAAGTTTTCACATGCCCCTCCATTTGTGAAGAAAAACTGGATCTACTGATGTAAGAAAAGAACCCTTATAGCAAAAGACATTGTCTAATCAGCTACTGTGTGACATCCACTACTCCCACTGTGCCTTCTGCAGAGACCAAAAACAGCTCCGCATGTTCTCTCACTAACTGACCTCTCTTGGCTAAAGCCATTGCTTGCTATTACCTCTGGCTATAACCTCCCTGGAAATGCACCTGCACACAAGTCCCAGGGAAAGCATTTGAACACTGGAACAAAACTTCCTCAAATTATAGTTACTCATCTGCTTAAGACCAGGAGAGCTGGTAGAAGTGGCTTTTATCTCACAAACTGGGCTTCCAGTCTGACAGTGCTGTGGACAGCAGTTGTTACCTTAGCCTGATATGTCTGCTCCAGCTCCATCTTATACAGTTTGACTTGTTCATCATGTTGATTTCGCAGATCCTCCAGGGCCTGAGTCATTTTGGATTCATACTCCTGTTGGCGGCTTGTGTCCACCTCAATCAAACGATGTTCATGTCGTTTTCTTGTTTCCCTTATTTCCTACATACACACAAAAGAAGAGGGACAAATTCCCACACTAAAGTAAACAGTACAAGCAATTACATTCAGACAATTAACTACTGCAGTACTAGCTATTTAGCATAATGGAGCTACAGTACTACAGGCATTTAAGCCTGGGAATTGCTGTGTGCAGAACAGATTCAAGTTACTGTTCTCATTTGTCAGGATGTAATTCTTAAAAGTGATCCCACTTAACACCAGCTTCAAAAACAGCCATGTACTGTCTAAGTAAGGGGCTGTTTCACTGCTTCACTACAAACCCTGTCCTTCTCAATGCACATCCTGACATTACAATAGCAGTCTACAAGGAATCAGATGAAAATGAACACCATTTGTGAACATTATATATATTTTAAAAAATTATAGAGAAAAACTGCATCTTCAAATTTCACTCTTAAGCACATGTGGGTCTCATCTATGTTCTACATACTTGATGACTCCTTCTTATTAGATTTTGATTACAGCATTAATAAAGCAGCAATCCAAGCAATCCTGAAGACATAATTTTTATGATCAGAGTTTGCACTAAGAAATGTGCATTTTTAGAAATGCATGGGTTTTCTGTGCTTAAGAACACTGGCTGCAAACTAGTAAGGTAAGGCTTATTCATGCACTTATTCATGCAGAGACCTGGCCTGGTCTGAATGTGTGGTATGAGAAAAACTATTTCTTCCTTCAGGGCAGGACAAACAACCAAGGAGTGGTTCTGAGTACTGGGAGGAGGCCTGAAGTTAGCAGCAGGGCCATGAGGAACAACAGCAAGTGAAGCAAGGCTCAATTTTGCTAGACTGGAGTCATAGAAGGCTAACACATACTCAAAGCAACTTTACTAGCTGTTTAGCAGAAATGGTCTACATCTAAAATAGATCCCCAGAAACATGTCCTTTTACTAGCAGCAATGTGCTCTGAAGTGATATGGAATAAGCTTTTCTTTCTGTGGTTAATTTTCACACCAAGAAAACTAGCAAGCAGCAGTCTCTCAGTAACAGTAGGCAATGACAGCTCAGAAGCTAAAGGAATGTCATGGGGGACTAGAAAGGATCAGGTGAAGGGCTGAGCTGATCCAGCAGTTCAACACCACTAGAATAAGCAGGCCTCACTTGCCACACTCCCAGTCATGATGACTCAATTCTAATGGAGATTTGGACCCTTCAGTAAACCAAATCAATTCACTAAGGTAAAGGAAATCAATTTATTGCTTCACATGTTGAACTGGTGCATCCAAGAATCAAAGAGCTCCAGGAGTGCTAAAGAACACACCCTTGAGCACAGCAAGCTTTAGGATCAGCTTCTGCTGTCTCATTTAGTTTCACCTTCAGTCAATAGCAACACATTCTCCCCAAGAAGAAAGGTCATCTTAAGGTCCTACAACCAAACAAGGATCTGTCACTGCAGTCAGTGCACCAATCCAAGCATCCAGGGCAAGGAAGTGAGACAATGGTCAGTACATCTCAGGCTGATCTCCCTGGCTGGTTTCTTTGCCCTGCTCCAGCCCCTGTCCCCTGTCCTTAGCCACACAGCCCTGTCCCATCCCTTGAAGCAGTCTGAGCACTCATTTGGATTCTGTGATAAATCAACTCAGCCACTAAGCAGTCAAAAACCAAACTCAACCAAGAAAACTTTAGTATGTTTCTAGTTAATCTGGTTGAAATGGTTAGGTGAACAGTGAGCCAAGCATCACATCTAGAGTAGGTGAGAAGAACAGTGGAAGCATGTGGTGACTGCTCAGCAGCCACTCCTTGAATGAGCTCGCAGAAGCACCAGAGATGGAATAAACCGACGTAACACTTGGCATCGGGTACAGAGAGAAAGTCATGCTTTCCTCTCCCAATTCCCACTATCACAAAAATTTTGGTCTTCACTAGAACTATTCACTTAACAGGCAGAAAACTACCTCTGCAATAAGCAAGGCAGTTACATACTATTCTAGTCAATAAAAACAGCTTATGATAGGGTCCAGCAACCAAAGCTGATGTAAGTAAAGAAGAGGGGCATGCAACCAGGTCCAGTGAGAGGGAAAAAGATTTTCCTTTTCCCACAGCAGTCAGCTGGCTCCAGTTCACCTGCCCATGGAACAATACTCTTGTCACCTGGCTCTCCTACTGACTTCACCACTGATTTACCATGTAAAAAGGTGTAAAACCTTCACCTATTTTATTACTCAACCCATTTATAGGAAGGATAATACTGATTTTTCTCTACCTGGACTAGTTAGTTGCTCATAGTCAATTTGATTAAAAGCTACATTAACTTTGGACAGTGGCAAGATTACTAGATTGATAATACCTCCTCAAATACATTCTTCCTGAAATCCAGATCCTCTTGCAAACTCTGGCACCGATTTTCCAGGTCCACACGCATGAGTGTCTCCTTCTCCAACTGCTTCTTTGCCACAGCATGACCATCTTCAGCCTAGTAAAGAATTTTAAAGATAATTTTGTCTGGATTCCTATCTTCCATCCATAAACCTTTTACAGTCTTCATCTGATGTCTTTGGAGCAGTTACTCACAATAACAAAACTAATGTCAAGCCACTGATTTAAAGAAAACCAATCCACACCACCACCAGAAAGAAACACAATAAATAAACAAAAGCCACAGAAAAAAAGAAAGAACAAGTGTGTGTGCACGTTAATTGATATTTAAACCAAGCTTATATGTTTGCATAGCAGCTATTTAAAATGTAGTATTAGCTCAATACATTCTGATAGAGGAGCCGAGGATTATTAACTCCTCAAGCACAATATGTTGCACTTTCTTTTTCCTGCTAGCATGGTCCCACTGGGTACTCCAGCACAAGTGTAAAATTATGCAGGACCTTACAAAGGACAACATTTAATGACTCAAGATCTAGAAACATCAGAAATTTTAAAACAAAAACTTCTGACAACCAAAATGTCTAAAACACTGTGTTGCTTTGGTTATTTTACATAGATTTCTTACAATTTAGTTTTGTATCCAAGAGGGGCAGCCAAAGATTCAGCAGTAAGCAAGATGCATCATTGATGTTCAGACTATAAACTAACTGCAAAGAAAAAAGGGAATTTATGCTACGCAGCCTGTCCTGTGCTGAAGCAAGAGAGCATTCCCTACCATACCTTAGCAAGCTGGGCACGCAGATCAGCCACTTCTGCTTCCAGACTGCGTTTCTCATTCAGGACAGTATTGAGCTCTGCCTCACTTCTATGGAAGAGAACTTCCAGATCCTTGATACGACCCTGAGCCACAGACAAATCTGCATCTTTCTTCTTGTAGCTGGAAAAGCAAAAGTACATTATACTTACACATGGGTGCACACCCATCCTGAGCATGTCCTGGTTACAGCCACAGGTATTTTGTTATCAGACACCTTTTATCAAGCCCAGCTCACCACTATATGGCTCCTGCAGTAGCCTGCAAAGGCTGCTGATCATTGACCTAGAACACCCCCAAAATGTGAAGCTGGTACCATGTTCTGTAAATGCATTGCACAGTAAAAAACAATCATGGACAGGCAAGGGAAAAACAAGAAGGCAACTCTGGCAGCTAAGAGACGGTAATGCACACAAGGTGTAAACAGCACTTATTCATCTGGCAGCTACACAGCTGATATCTTTTACTTTAGAGTACAGCCCACAAAGCAAAGTACATGCAATGGCCAAAGAGGCCTGAACATCCCCATGGTTTTATATTTGATATGGTCAAGCATATTCCTTATGATGTATTCCCACAGAAAGTAGTAAAGTAAAAAAATCCACTATGGAAATGTGTCACCTTTCAGAAATAAACCAGTATTGCTTCAGCAGTATTCATTATGGGCAAAGCATGTCCGAGTGCTTTAAATATCATTATTTGAGCTGTTATATCCAACTTGCAGATACGACCAAGATAATCTTCCTTCTGCCCACCAAGTAATTTATCAGTCTTTTAATCTAACATAGTGACTTTCTGCAGCTTTTCTCAGCATGTATCATTATGTTATTAAAAAACTGATCTGTTATGTGCTATAATCCTTCCTTGTTGCTGCTTAAGCTCGCTGTTCTAGTCTCACACCACATGGGACAGAGGGAATACTTTCAAAATTTTTTTCTCTTAAATCGTTGCAGACACTTTTTCCCCTTTCCCTTCTTCACACTTCTAATCTATAGATATGTAGTTTGCACCTATGGTCCATAAGCTGCTTTAAGGGCCCACAGAAATAACTTCGAAGAGAATTCCTACTACATATAGGCTTTTACAAGCTCTGTATTCAATCTGCAACTCCAAACATGGAAAAAAAAAAACTATTATGTTTGCTAAGAGGAAAAAAAAAGCTGAAAACCAGTGTTCTAAATTAATAAAAACCTTGATCCCCAACCTGGATCCTGAAGCTTGGTTCCCAAAATCCTCATCACTTGTACTGTCTTCTTGAATTTCTGATTTGCTTGAATTGGCCAGAATTACTTTAGGAAAATCCTCCATTATCGGGTATTGGTGTGCCCTCCACACAATGGTTTGCCTTTGGCTCATCAGTGGTTTACCAATGGTTTACATGGTTCAGCATGATGTGCATATTTTTCTAAGCTGACATCTTTATTTTGTGACGCATTCAGCTTGTGTTTTCTCTCTATATTTCATGGTGTAGATCTTAGAATTTGTTTTCATTTAACTGTAACCAATTTTTCTTATCATCAGTCCAATCTGTCACTGTGAATTCTGTTCTGCAACATATGTGCAGTGTCTTCACACTCATCAGCTTGCTGGAGGCACAGACAAAACATGGCTTCTATTTAGAAGACAGTTATTTAGCAGTAGTCAGAAGGTCACAAGTGCTATGTTACACATGTGTTATAAAATAAGCCACTGTGCCTGCGTCACACCAGTCAGATCTGGGAGCCTTCTGCCTGTGCAGGACTCAAAGGGCAAATGCTGCTTCACTCTGATCATGAACAGCAGTATGTGCTCACACAGCCTCCTGCTTCCTCTCACCTGCAGAAGCCAGGCAACAAGAGAGTGCTTCCAGGGATGGGAATGAATAGAAGTGTTTGATGTACAGCTTGAACCATAGAGAATTCTTGACAGTGGTAAGTAACTTTGGCCCCCTCAAGGACACTGACAACATAGCAAGCTATTTTAGTTTTTATTTTCACTTATAATTTCAGCCTGGTTTACTGCCTTCATGCAAAAACATGACAGAGGTTTTACAAAGGTACAACTGTTTTTGGGGGTCTCTGAGATTTTAAAAAGTTCCCACAAGCAGTCAATCCACCTAGTGAGATGTGTCAGTGCTTCAAGGAACACCAAGTAACTTTCCAAGTAGGGTAACTCTTGAGAGCTCTTTTTTCCCAGAAAGAGCCAAGTTTGCTCCAGGGAAATGTTTCAGTGACCACAGAATCACAGCATTGTTTGGGTTGGAAGGGACCTTAAAGCCCATCTCATTCCAACCGTGTCATGCTCCAAGCCCTGTCCAACTTGGCCTTGAACACTTCCAGGATGGGGCAGACACAACTGCTCTGGGCAACCTGTTCCAGGCCTTCACCACCCTCACAGGGAAGAATTTGTTCCTAATATCAAATGAAAACCTACTGTCTTTCAGTCTGAAGCCATGCCCTGTTGTTCTGTCCCTACTTATAGGTAGGCAGCAGGCAGAGGAAGCCACAGCATGACATTCACCCCTCTTAGTGCCAGGAGCATGCAGCTCCAGCAGGACTGCTAGAACAAGCAGAATGATGGCACCTGACAGATACTGACCTTCAGACCTAGCTTGACCTGGGAAAAAATGACACTGGTAAAGATACGAACTGACACTTCATGAACAACAGGACAGGAGACTTTCCTTAACCACACCATTAGAGCTACCTCTGCTATCAATGACTGGACCTTATTCACTTCACCAGGTCTGGTTCAACAGTCACAGGGAGGGTGGTGTTCTACCCAAGCAGAAGTCTTGTGCACCTCACCATAAATTAATTATTCCCATCCATACCTCCTCCACTTATCCCCTCCCTCCAGTAGTCAAAAGTTTTGTCAAACAGCTGAAGATGAAAACACAAACACTGGAAGACATTGCACAGCATATAGGATAGAACCATACATGCTACAGAATGATATGAGAATGGCTATTTTTACAATATTTTAATTCTCGATTTAAAAATATGCCCCTACTTCTGATACAAACATCTTTAAACTAAAAGTTAAGCTGTTCCTTACATCATATAAATGGTGTTCAAACATCCTAAAGATATTTAACTTTTTATAAAGTGAAACTACCCAACTGCTTTATGAACCTAGTTATGAACTTGGTTCAAAAGAAAAAATTTTACATTCATGAGTTGCATTCAAATACAAATATATATGTATGGTAGATGTTGTAAAATACACAGAATCACAGAATGGATGGAAGGGATTTTAAATCTCATCTTGTTTCACCCCTCCCATGAGTAGGGACACCTTCCATTAGACTGGGTTGGCTCCAAGCCCCATCCAGCCTGGCCTTGAACACTTTCACACAGATGGGGCAGCCACAGCTGGTTGGATACTATGTTCTACCTCCAGAGGGTGCTGGGGCATTGAACAGGCTCCCCTGGGAACGATCACAGTCCCAAGGCTTCCGGAGCTCAAGGAGAGCTTGGACAAGACTCTCAGGCACAGAGTGGGATTTTGGGGTGTCTGTGCATGGCCAGGAGTTGATTTGGCGCTTTTTGTGGGTCCATTCCAGCTCAGGATATTCCATGATTCTATGACTGAGTGCCTCACCACCCTAACATGGAAGACTTTCTTTCCAATATCATAGTCTAATGCTGCCCTATGTCAGTATGAATCCATTCACCCTTGTCCCAATCCCTCTCCCTCTCTTGGAGCCCCTTTAGGCATTGGAAGGGGTTCTGAGCTCTCCCTGGAGCCTTCTCTTCTCCAGGTGAACACCCCCAGCTGTCCCAGACTGCCTCCAGTGCAGAGGGGCTTCAGTCCTCAAAACACCAGAACAGGTGGCGTCTCTGGACTCACTCCAGTAGCTTCACATTATTCTGATGCTGGGTCCCCAGAAGAGAACGCAGTACTCTGGGTGGGCTTGAAGGGGCAAATCACCTCCCTTGACCTGCTGGCCACACTTCTTTTGATGCAGTTCAGGGTTTGATCAGCTTTCAGGGCTGCAAGTGCACATTGTTAGCTCAAATTCAGTTTTTCATCCATTGATACTTGTATCTCCTCAGGGCTACTCTTGATCCATTCTCCACCCAGCCTGTGTCTGTGATGGAAATGACCCAACACATATGCAGAACCTTATACTCGGCCTTGATGAACCTCATATGGGGTTCACACAAGCCCACTTCTCTAGCCTGTTCTCATCTCTTTAGATGGTATTCCTTCCCTTCAGTGCATCAGCTGCACCACACATGTTTTGGTTGGCTCCTCTTTCTTGTTAGAAGGAAGTGCTTCCTGCCCCTTGCCCCCCTCATGCCCTAGTTTCACATTCAGTTTCAGGGTACTCTGGAAGTCTCACAGAGATGATGAGCTGGTGGCTCCTGAGATAGCAGGAGCCAACAGGGAAACACATGTGAAATACTGCCAAGAAATTAAGGGGCATTCATCTAAGAAGACAACACAGCCAACAGTCCAGCTGTTTCTCTATACCAATGCATGCAGGCTGGACAGTAAATAAGAGGAGCTGGAAGCCACCATGGTGCTGGAAAGCTGCAACCTAGTTGCTGGTGAAACTTGGTGGAATCTCATGACTGGACTTCAACTATCAACAGCTACAGGCTGTCAAGAATGGACAGGTGAGGAAGGAGGGGTGGAGGGGCTACCCTCCCCAGGAAGTGAATTGAATGTGAAGGGCCATCTCTAAAGAACAGCCATAAGCATCTTGAAAGCCTATGGGTAAGAATCAGAGACAGAGGCAACAATGGGAACCCTTGTGGTTGGTACCTACTCCTGGCTGACTGGTCAGCTGCAGCCTTTTTGCTCCAGTTACAGGAGGTATTGCACTCATAGACTCATCCTGCTGTGGGACCTCAACCATCCCAGCACCTGCTGGAAAGTAGCAGGGTGAGCTGTAGGCAATCGAGGAGGCTGATGGAGAGCACTGAGGATAGCTTGTCAAGCCAGGTAATAAACAGCTCTACCACATGAGATGAGATGAGATACTGGACCTGATGGTCACCAACACAAACGAGCCAATCAGTGATGTCAAGACAGGAGGCAGCCTGGGTTGCAGTGATCATGCAGTCCAGGAGTCTGCAGTCCTGAGAGACACGGGTCAACTGAAAAGTAATGAAGAATGAATTTTAGGAAAGCAA